TAGGCCCAAACCTGGCCGAAATTGAAAGCAAAATACCTGGAAAGTATTTTTCCCTTTCAATACAATGCGAAGAATCCTTCAAATGAAAGTAACTGCAAGACATAAATTGCAACACTCTCCTAGAGAGTGAGATAACGATTAAACCTTATAATCTTGTAAAGGGATAAACAGCACACTTTATAGAACTGCGAGAATGAGAATATATAACTGCGAGATAGGCTTAGTATGCAGCTGGATTAATAGAAAATTTCGAGAAGGGAAGTTGCGAAATCCAAGTACCATAACTTTTCTGATTGAATATTCGATCGAAATTATATTCTCCAATTTTATGATAGAAGTAAGACTATATAAAATGTGTGAAAGGGTGAATTTCGACACACACACACACACACACACACATATATATATATATATATATATATATATATATATATATATATATATATATATATATATTTTGGAAGTTTTTAGCAATAACAGGCTTTTTTTGATATGAAAAAGTTTATTTTTGAAGACGTTTCGTTGTTATATCACAACTTTGTCAAAACTGATGAATTTTTTTCTTCATATCAAAAAAAGCCTGTTATTGCTCAAAACTTTCAAAATAAAATATCTTAAACAGGCAATAAATCAATTTCAAGAAATATATATATATATATATATATATATATATATATATATATATATATATATATATCAAAAATCACAATTTGTATATATATATATATATATATATATATATATCAACAATCACAATTTGTATATATATATATATATATATATATATATATATATATATATATATATATATATATATATATATTCTTCGAAAATCATTGTATGCAAATTATCTATGAAATACTTGTCGAAAAAGAGTGAAAACATATAGCAAATCTACATCAAAAATACCTTATAACATGAAAATATTGGATGGATGTTATTCGATAGATTTAAGGTGTTCAATGCTTCTTCAACAAGTATCGAATACTTTCAAGTTCTTAATTGTGAATGGATTGATTGATTTATATCAAAATGAATGTTGTTATTCAAATTCTATTGTCAAAATCCATAAATTCATTTACTGTATTTGCTGAAGAGAAGTATTTTTAAGTTGGAATTGATATATATATATATTCAATGTTCTTAGCAATAACTGGCTTATTTTAATGTGAAAAACTTTATTGTCGTTGACGTTTCGTTGTGTCACAACTTTGCCGAAACTAAAAAAAGTTTTTTTGGAAGTTCTGACAAAAAATCCCAACTTTGTGCGAACTAAAAAAAAAGGTTTTTTCAAAGTTTTGACAAAGTTGTGATATACAACGAAACGTCAACGAAAATAAAGTTTTTCACATTAAAATAAGCTATTTATATGTTATTGCTAAAAACATTGAAAATAAACTATCTTTAACAGGCAATAAATTATATATATATATATATATATATATATATATATATATATATATATATATATATATATATATATATATATATATATATAGTAAATACTGAGACTCTTAATCGAAATATTGAAATATTTCAAATAAAACTCTCAGGGAGCTGTCTACACAAATGTTGTCAACGAGAACGAACCCATCACTTTCGAGAGTGAATATTAAGAGCGTTTCGAAAAATTCATCGATCTTGTTGAATGATAATAGGATACAATTGTTTCATCATTATTATGAATCATCAGTCCATATTTAATCTATCAATCAAGAATCGATGACTTTCAAAACGAACATAGGTCCCATACCAAATTAAGAGAAGTTCTAGAGAGTGAAATACTCACGTAGGCTCCTCTATCGGCGAAAGGACGTATAAACACTCCCTAGCGTTCAAGATTCCTACTCATGACAACAAGAGTGCGAGTGGAAGGCTTTGTAGATATTTCATTCGAATACAACAGAAAATTGTCTGAAATGTGTACGAATGATCCCCAGTGATCTGCAGCTTGTATCCTCTTATCATTCAACAAGATCGATGAATTTTACGAAACGCTCTTAATATTCACTCTCGAAAGTGATGGGTTCGTTCTCGTTGACAACATTTGTGTAGACAGCTCCCTGAGAGTTTTATTTGAAATATTTCAATATTTCGATTAAGAGTCTCAGTATTTACTAGTATTGAATTACCTGTGAATCTTTGAACTATATATATATATATAAGAAAATGAACACTAGAACATTCATTCGAAAAATTGAAATTAATCAAGAGAATATGATATAGAATATGGGTATAGAAGATATGTGAAATTTCGATGCTTGGTGTGTCTGTAATACGAGAGAGGTGTTTTCTACTGATTTCTATAGATGGAATTGTAGATTATTCATTACTCTACGATCTTCCGCTTGAAGTCACAAGAAGATGCTTGGAGGTTGAAATCGTTGCCTCACTTCGATGGACGTGGTGCGACTGACGAGTTCCTTGCAGAACGAAACATATATGTCTCGCACTTCCGTCAGGTGTGGCATCGATTTCAATATTTCTCTAACATTTATCCCTTGAAGGATAATGGAGACATCACATCGTACACGTTCACATATCTAGCTCTACTATAACATTCTCTTGATTAATTTCAATTTTTCAAATGAATGTTCTAGTGTTCATTTTCTTAAATATTTCATTCAGTGCCATAAGCACAAACAATTTTCATTTCCTTATATATATATATATATATATATATATATATATATATATATATATATATATATATATATATATATATATATATATATATATATATATATATATATATATATATATATATATATATATATATATATATATATATATATATATATATATATATATATATTCTGTTTGTGGTTATATTATCGGGAATGCGGTCTATTTAAATTAGAAAACTCTTCAACTTTAATTCTCAATATTTCGATTTGCTGTCGGGATAGACATGTCTCGTCTTTGTTCAGTGTTGTAGTTGTTAAATGTTTTTATAAATAACTCATGTTCTTTGTAAGTGATATTTCTGTTCAAAGTTTTCTTGGATATCTCTATTGATTTGTATTGTCTTTTGTAGTTTTTCCTGATGAAGTCAGTGAATGACTGGCGAAATATTGAGAATCAAAGGTGATGAGTTTTATAATTTGAATAAACCGCATTCCCGATAAGATAATCACAAACAGAATTCATATCATACGGTCGATATAAGAATGAAATTAATATATATATATATATATATATATATATATATATATATATATATATATATATATATATATATATATATATATATATATATATATATATATATCAATACAGAATTCTTGTATTGTTCTGTATTGTTGAATACCTACATGGAATGACTTCGAAGTAAGCGTTCATCGTTGCCATTTTTTCCTGTCTTCCTGCAATTTGACGATATTTTGATATCCGGAAATATTAGAAATAAAATATGGCTGTGCAAAGTATGATTTTCATTATCTTCATTCCGATTTCCTTTCATGTTATCGCTGGAAATTGCCAACAAAGTTTATATCCCTCATATTTAGCATGCTGCCCTACACTCGAGTAATGAAGGTTTCATCTATTTTCCGACAGAATGAATAGTTCTGAGTTTGATGTATGTGCCATTGAAAATCCAATTAAGCCAGTAGCCAGGTCATCAGTATTTCACATGTGACTTGACTGAGATATATTGCGCATGAAAATAGATTTCCATTCTCTGGTTATCAGATTTATATAGTAACCAACTACTCTCATCATCTTTCATTAATTGTCAAGATATCAAATATGAGATATAATGAGCGAATTCGCGATACGATACTCATTATAAACCGCATAAACTTCTCAAGAGATCTCGAATACTATCATTTTTAATTTTTATCTCGATCAGTAAAGTAGTCTTCTCTAACATTCTCCTTTTGTTCAATACCAAATGCGCTAACTTTAAACTGAATCAGTACTGTTGAAAAATAGCATTTCTATTTGCAATTGAAATACCACTAAAACATTAGAAAATGAAACTTGAAATGTTCAACATAATACCTATATATGTAACTAGATGAATGTTTGATCATTGAAAAAAGAAATTGTGTTTTCAATACGAAAAAAAAATTAAAAATTGGCAACTATAGAAATGCCGATGAAAGTGAGAACTTGAAACTTACATTATATAAAAAAATTAATTTAAAATTATCAACATCAATGTGGTTTTCACATCGATTGATACTTCGAGCAACAATTATATGCATGTTTACATGGTTTCTCATTATTCAAGTTTTTCAAAATGAATTCATTGAAATAATTAATAATAATGTTTCATTTGAATTTTTATTACAATTATTCAATTTTATTATTGTCCCTAAGGGCTGCAAACTTTCTATCTAATAACCTCACTCGGCCATGTGAAAACTCTCGTAATAAGATTGATTCAAACTCAACAAAGCTACATCTTATTGTAAAATTTTATACCTTTCAATTTATATTTTCACTGTATCATTAAATAATAATGAAATTTTCAATCTATTTTAGGAGCATACAGTTCATTTGAGTTCTGAAATTGAATTTTTTATATATGTTGTCACTGTAGGATAATTCAAATACTGGATTTACACTTTTATTATCATAACGTGACGTATTTCGTTGGTATTATAGACGTTACCTGAATAATGATTTAACAATAAAACCGACTTTACAAGTACAGTATGAACAATAATATAATTTATAAGAAATGCAACCATAGAGTTCCTCTCAAGGGTCTACCATACTGAACTAGCTTCTTCACCAGAAAAGGGTTAACAATGGTGAATTATTTGAAACCAATTGCTCATCAAGCAAATTTGGTTTCAAGCAAAACAAAAAAAAAGCATGGTTTTCTTTAACGAACAATTTGAAAAATTATGATTTTTTTTTTTTTTAAATTCAGTGGACCTACAGTTTAACGCCGGTTCCGAACGGCCATTGGGCTTGTAATCGATGTACATTACCCAGCATATTCCATTATTTAAGCTACTCAAATCATAGACAAACACAAACACCCATGCCTCAAGCGGGGCTCGAACCCGAGTTCTACCGCACCATAGTCGGGAGTTCTACCTACTAAGCTACGGAGACCGGCATATGATTACTTTTATTTATATGTAAAGCGGTATTTGTGTTATGAACGCCCAGTCAAAACATGAAATCCTTTTTGCGTCATCACAATCTCAATATCACTTTCAGAACAAACAATAACCTTTCTAAACATATCAAAAACAATAAAACCGAAATTCAAAAAGACAATAAATCAGGCGTCCAAAAACATTTAAATTGTGGAACATGTTCATGTACATATAAGCAAAACAAGTAGGAATTCTAGTACTAGAATTAATGACCACAAATACAGTTTTACACATAATGAAAATTTTAAACACAAAAATTCTGAGAATTTGCTTAATGAGGGATTGGATTTGAATAATTCATTAATGTTGATACTTTTCAGGTGAAAAACTGAGTTCGATATTGAAGGTTTTGAGAAAAACAATATGGTAGCTCTTTTTCTTGTTAATTCAATTGTTGTTTATAAGTACTTGAACTTGTATAATCAGATTTGTTGTTAAATTATATCTGTTAACGTCTGCATAAGTCGGTCATGCCAATTAACGCGTCACGTTGAGATAATGGCAGTGTGAATCAAATTCGAGTGTTTGAATTATCCCATAGTTATAACGTAAACTAACTAAATGCCAATACTTTCAACATATATATTGTGTTGAAACATGTTCATCTAGTTTCTGATTTAAAAAGAATTCACAAATTCACTGGAGGGTGTATTCCAAACACAAACATCTTGAATCGTTCACGAAAACATCGACAAACAGTGGCAAATTGGGGAAAATAATTCGTTCAGAAAAAAACTGAATCATCACTAAATTCTGCTGCTTCCGCAACGCTGCATACTATACAGCCTTGTCGATATTCTCATATATATTGAATTTATGTATTTATTCCGACACTATATAACTCCATATTCGTATATTGGTGGACCAAAAAGGGTTCAGTCCACCCGGTTTTATTATACATTACCGTTCAAGTATTATAAACGGTGCAGACGAGACATCGAAAAAGACTTGGACCCGGTTTTATTAAAATCGTACTCGACTGCGCCATGCCTGGATCGAAGAGTGCTGATGCGACAACGGCTGCTCGTAAAAACCAAACTTTGAATGCATTTTCATATATTCCTTCTTATATTTGAAAATTTTCAAAGTCTTTAGAACTGTGATGAGGAAAACAATGGTCCTATATAAAAGTTATGAAAAATTCGTTATTCGACATTAAAACCAACTCACTAATAGTTGCCAAAATACTTTAGAATTGCTGAAAATCCACATATGAGTACACATTCAACAAGAGGTGTTAGTAAGTATCGAATAATAATAAATGAATAATAAAATGAATTTATTGAGAAACATTCTTCACATTGTAGAATTACATTCATTTGAATTGATACAATAATTATAATTGGAAGAATGCTCTCAAAAGGACTGAATTCAGTTTTGAGTCTGATCTTCCATTCAGCCCTCGAGCAAAAATATTGGTTCAAACAAAAGTATTGGTTAAATTTATATTAACAATAATATACAACTTTATTTGAAAGAAAAGAAAAAAATTACCACAGAAATATTAAACATTTGAGACAATTTCACATGGTGAAGAACATTTGTGTCAAAAAAATATTAAAACATATGATACAAAAATTGATTAATACATTATTGCCTACATTCGAATCATCAAAATACTCTGCCACACTATAGTATGCCTAAATATTGAATGGGATACCAGTCTCGAAGAAGAAATACAATAATGTCTCGAAGAAGAAAAACAATAATTCATTGACATCATTTCGCATTCTGAAGATTAATCATTAACTTGATTTTAAATATAAGATTCATGCAATGAGATGAAACAGTTGTGAAATATGCAGTAGATAAATAAAAATATATATGACGAAAAATTACAGATTTGCTGGTTTGTGGATTTAACCCTCATTTCGAAATAATTTTTTTTAGCTTTCAAAAATAAGCGCCTCTCTCTATCATATATATATATATATATATATATATATATATATATATATATATATATATATATATATATATATATATATATATATATAGCTAAAAACTTTCAAAATAAATATCTCAAACAGGCAATAAATCAATTTCAAGAAATATATATATATATATATATATATATATATATATATATATTTGGCGGGGTTGTGTGTATGATATTAATTGATGAATTTGTATTACACTACCGCCTGTTTATTTATCTGATGTGTGAGGGAAGGTTTAATTGAAATACACTTCGAAGAACTTTTAAATATAACTTTATTTTAGAACTATTAATATGGTTGGATATGAATTATTAGGACGCACTGTACTCTAGACTCGTTTCTTCTCAACTCTCTCGAATCTTTCCGTGTATCTGCTTTTATACATTTTCAACAGTATTTAACAATGGAAATGTACGTGACAATTTGACAGGATTCAAGATTTACAGATTCCAGAATCATAAGATTTGTACATAATGAAAAATGAAAATTACAAAGAGTTTATTACTTAACGAGGGTACAGTATTAAGCGGAACGTGCAAGTTAGTTACTATAAGTTTTATTACTGTTCCCTTCGATAACTTACCCCGGTGGGAGGTAAAAGTTGAACTATGAATTGCCAATCCGAATCGAGGATATTCGGAGAAGTTATTGCAATTAAAACATAAAATGCAATATTTTACAATACTATGGATTACTTCAGAAACGAGTCTGAGAAACGAATAACAATGAATTTAATACTTAAATAGGGTACCCTATTAGACGGGACGTGCAAATCAGTTATAAATAGTTTTATTACTGACCCTTTAATAGTGCACCCCGGCGGGAGCTGTATTAGCCAAAAGATGGCAGGTAAAAACTGAAATAAGAATATATTCATTGGGAGACGAAAATGAGCCGCCACAGCACCCCCCTGCCAGTGATTTTGAATCACGAAAGTCCAGCCTGGTAGCGATCAGGAAAGTGGACACGTCTGCCTGATCTGGTTAGTCGACCTGGAAGTTGATGCTTTAGTTCTGCAGGAGCATCAGCTTCTCTGGTGGCTGATTTGAGTCTGGTGGTCGACCTGGAGGATGATGTAGTTCTGCAGGAGCATGCGCTTTCTTTGGTGGATGATTTGAGTCTGGTGGTCGACCTGGAGGATGATGTAGTTCTGCAGGAGCATGAGCTTCCTCTGGTGGCTGATTTGAGTCTGGTGGTCGACCTGGAAGATGATTTAGTTCTGCAGCAGCATGAGCTTCCTCTGGTGGCTGATTTGATTTTGGTGGTGATGGCGGAGGTTGTTCTGGTTGAATGGTATCTGCTAGTTGCGAGATGGAACCTGGCAAAATGCGGATGTATGCACCAACAGCGCTCTTCACGTGACGTGTGATTTTTGAGCGTTGACATACTACACATGTTTGCGTCCATTTCCTGCTATATTCCTTGATGGAATGACAAATATACCTCTCAGTAAGTAACTTCCTGGTAGCTTTTATACCAGGAGGACTAAGGCGGTTGACACTATAAAATGCAATTTTTCGGAAGCTTGTTGTGACATAGGGTCTTGGTGCAGATTTTGTCACGTCGCACCACAATTCGTGGGTGGTTCCTGGAATTTTGATCAATCTGAGCTTGAGACCTGATGTTTTGTTTACTATGAGCTTGGAAATTTCATCATCAGTCTGCTGCGATTTTGCTAAGGCTTCGTAATCGACTGATGTATGTAGTTCTTCAATTCTAGACAGAGCATCTGCTGCTACATTATCACCGACGGCTATGTGCCTTATCTTCATAGTGAACTGGCTTATGAAGTCTAGGATTCTGAACTGCCGGGGTGATGTCTGCGTTTGGCTTATGAAGTCTGAATATCTGAACTGACGTGGTGATTTCTGCGTGGTCTTATGGCGAAAAGCGTATACCAATGGCTTGAGTACATGTGTAGCAAATCTGTATGTTGCTATGGGTGTATCATTCGCTGCTGATAATTGGTAGGCTGCTTTACTGGGTGCTCCATTCATATGTTTAAGTGGAAATGTGCTTACGTCAGCTCCAGTGTCGGCGTGGAATTGAAGTCTGCTGTCTCTATCAACAACGAATAAGCGGCGTGACTTGTTTGCGCAAGTGTCATCAGCCGCTTTTATCGACTGCCGGCTTGGTTTCCTTTGATTCCATGAGCAGGGTGCAGTACATTTCTTTGCAGCTTGATTGAAACGAGAGTGGTACCAACACATGTTAGCAGATCGTGGCTCACGGTGAATGGAGGGTGGTTGTGAACGTGTTCCAGAATACGCACTGTTGGAATTGCTTGAATAGTAAGATTCCTTAGAACTTTGTATTTCCCGTTTGATGGTACTTAGTTTTCCTCTTACGTGTGAGAGTTGTGTACTGAGTCGTAACAGAGCACCGAGATCTTGAGATACAGAGGGGTCTACTGAAGCAACCGAGACCATATTCCTAGCTGGCAGCGCGGTGTAAATAGAATCAGCTACTTCAGAAATTTCTATCAGCGACCGATGTGATTGGGTCGCTAAGATGGGGCGCAGATTGTCTGGTAATCTGCTTACCCATATGCTCCTGACTAGCGCTTCTGGTACCGCAGATCCTGCAAGGGCTTGTAGGCGACGAAGGAATTGCGATGGTTTTTCGTCCCCCATGGCTTCGTTTTCCAGCAGCTGTTTAGTTTTCTGATCCTGGCTGATACTCAGTCGTTTGATTAGTTGTTGTTTCAGTACAGAGTATGAGTTATTGTCCACTGGACGGATCACTATATCGCGCACTTCGGAAACATATCGCGAGGGAAGTTTCGGGAGAATGTCACAATACTGTATCACAGGGTCCGTAATGTTCAACCGTGTAAAGCACGCTTCGACAATCACAAACCAGGTTTCCGGATCTGTGTGATCAAAATCGGGAAGGTTAGGCACGGGATTCACTTCACTGATGTTCGCAACGTTTCCAGTTGTCATGTTAGTATGCATTTTTGAAAGATATACTGTCAGTTTGAATATAAAATTGAATGAACAATACTCACTTT